TATATATATATATATATATATATAGTACATAGATGTATTATAAACATACTTTCCAAAATTTTCGGCGTCTTCTATTGTCTCTGGTAATTCGCAATTCATCGTTTCTGGTAAAAATAAACAGAGTATAGCGCCTAATATCGGCGCTATGCCAAATATTACCGGAGGCAGCCAAGGTTGAATAGTACCCTATGAATGATTACGTTTCTTTAATCTTAAAATAACTTATTATTTGTACGTATATAAATAAATATATATAAAATAAAATATACTCTTAATCATAATATAAAACTATTTCATTATAGAAACATTAGTTAATGTATACATATAATACGCATCATAAATTACCATTGTGGCAATGAACGGTGCAATTATACTTCCAATTCTGGCAGAAGTACTTCCCAAACCAACGCCAACATTTCTTACGACAGTCGGAAATACTTCACAACTGTACAGGTATACTGTAGGAAAGCTAATAGCCATACCCACGAGCCCTAATGAAGCTAAAAATATCTGGACATTTCCGTTAGTTATAAGAGTTATCAGAAGCAAACTCACGCCGGATAAGATGTTTCCGCCCATCAAAATTTTTAAACGCGAAACTCGCGATATCAGAAACAGTACTATTATGGTTCCAGGTATTTCCATGGCCGCTGTAAGTCACAAAAAATGTTACAACGTATAGTGACAGAATTTAGTTTAATTAAGACTTATTATTAATTTTACCAGAAACTGCGACGTTGATGAATATATTGCCGTCAAGATGACCCATGTATTGCGCCAATCCGAAGAAACAGATACCACAGACGAACCAGTTGATACTCACATATGTAGTTTTCAATCTCAAATTCGGGGTTCTAAATAAATGCGTGATATTGTATTTCTCATTATTCTTCGCGTTTCGGATTGTCATCTGATTCTCGTAAGTTTCAAGCGCTAGCTTTACATTTTCTACTGGTATCTTGTTTCTTCTGGCAGCTTTCAGCAAGATTCGTTCTGCTTGTCTGTATTTGCCTATAGCTAGTAACCACCTCGGTGATTCCGGAACAATCCTATTTTTGCAAAACATCGATTCTTAATTGATTTCTTGATACATATATTTCGCAAATCTTAAAAATATCTCTTATTTTATAACAACATACGTAATTTATGTACATACCAGTAATACGATAATAAGAAAATTGACGGTATTGACACGGCCATTTGAAATCCATACCATGTAAGTGTCAAATAAGATATCAAGGAATTCATTACATGTGCGATTAAAAATGGTACGTGATAAAGAACCGACACAATTGATCGCCATTCGACTCCAATAATCTCCATAACTGCAACCAATTAATTGATAATAGATAAATCTCGTAAATTAGACTTCCTAAATTAATACTTAATACTTAATAACTTCATTGCGCTTGCAAACTTACGTAAAACGAAGCTGACGAGCATTGTTCCGCCAGTAGATACGGCACAAAGAAATTTGAGTATTAGGAACAATTCGTACCACGGTGCAAATGCACTTGCAAATCCTGTCACTGATTGCAGTGCAATTGCGATTATTAACGGTTTCTTTCGGCCAATTCTATGAATAAATTTCATTAATATTAATAAAATGAAAAAAACATATATATTAAATGTGGGAAAAAGTTCGTGGCATTTTTCCCATTAGATGGAATTAAAAAAACGCCACGAACTTTTTCCCACACATATTTATATATATTTTATATTTTATATACTCTATGAAATAATAATCATTTATGTCATCACATATTTTGCAACAACTTCGAATTAACGTACCTATCAGCCATTATACTAAAAATTAAATTACCCACGAGCACACCAAACATTGTGCAAGATTGTGCTAAATTAGCCAACTGTTCTCTATCACATACTAAATCCCACTGAAAAAAATGAATATTGACATAATTATTCACATATATCTCTTTTTATTATTTTATATTGGAATACTTAATTATCAATTAATTAATTGATAATATACATATGAAAAAATATATAAGGTCATATTGAATTAAATTATACTAACTTACCTGCGTTATGATACTCTCTCGAAATATTCGCTTATCGTAACTGAATTCAGTGCACTCTTCTATTGTGCCATTCCCAACATCAACTTCACATTTCATTATCATGGAGTCGTTAGTTGCTGACAAAGGAGCGATGCATGAGAAATTAGTAGGCGGTGCAAGGAATACGATAGAGAGCTGGTGCCAAGCTACTGGAAATTTAACGAGAGAAATCACCACGGCAATTATGATGTGCCATGGACCCATGGAGCCCATAGCCTCTTGAACGGGATCCAATGGTACGTGACCTGAGAACATAATAATAATACTTGAAACAAAAAAGTATATTTAAAAATATAGATGCGTTCATTAATTTTTTTTTATTAAGAAGTCTTTAATTAAAAAATAATTACGGAGTGTTATGTCCAGCCTAGTTGCTAGAATTATAAAAATATATATATATAACTTTATAATTCTAGCAACTAGGCTGGACATAACACTCCGTAATTATTTTTTTGCATTTCTCCAAGCATTCGAATCAGAGAGTATACAATTATAATTAACATACTCTATTTTTAGAATCTCTGTAAATGCCTCTGAATAGTGCTGCTAGTTAAATTAAATTAAAGATGAAATATCGCATCTGCGCTAATTTGTGAGAAATAATCTGAATCGCAAAGAGTTAAATTATGAAGGATATATAAAATTAATCTATGCAATGATTCTGTAATATTACTCAATACAATTTGCCAATCTTTTGTTTATTCTTCGCTTAAAGATAAGCGAAGTATGATATTAATAATGTTTTGATAGGATATTAGCTTCTATCGATCGTTCTATATTGAATTCTAATCTAAACACACCGCAAGTTCCACAAACCAAATCTAATAAGATGTAACATTTCCGCATAATTTATGATAATAATAATTAGCACTATTTATCGTATTTAGAAGATTTAACTATTGCAAAATAATGCAAAAAGCGATTAAATAATCATTGGCTTCGATATTCTTTCCTAAATCCCGCAAGAGATTATTATCAAATTTGAAAAATTGCGCAATTAAAAAATTATAGAAATAATGGAATGGAAAATCTAGACTCGTGACAAAATAATGTATT